CATACTCCGTTCGGTATGAGTGCAAAAAATATAATCCATCAATATCTCATTCGGTATGAGAGTGAAATTGAGCCATCTCATACCCCGTCCAATATGAGTGCCAAAATTACAATTTCTCGATACATCATTCGGTATGAGGTAACATTCACGGTAGGGTTCTCGATGCACCAAGTTCGTCCACCATCTCCCAGAATATCAAGTAAGACTACCATTTATTAATTCACATGACCAAAAATTTTTTTATTTGCATATTAATTACTAATTTCACAAATCAACTATAAATCATGCAAGACAAGTAATATATATATATCAAGGAAACACAACTGAATCATTCAACCATTTCGGTATACCATCATGTATTTAAAGCTGTAAATTCAACAATCAGTTAAACATGACAATTAAAGAACTAACCGGTTCCGACTCCATTTGTAACATGTAATTATTCTCGAAATTTTTCTAAATTACACAAAATACCATGTTATCAATTATTAAGCTTCAATTTCATAACAGAGAATAAGGTGAGAGATTTTTACCTAAATCATGTTCCGAGCGTGTCTTAGGCAATCCTGTCACGAAATTCATTGTGATGTGTTCTTACTTCCACTTCGAAATCTGTAATGGCTGAAGTATCTCGTCTGGGTGTTGATGCTCTCTCTTGACCTGTTGACATACTAGACACTTATAAACAAAATCGACCACCTCTCTTTTCATCTCGTTCCACCAAAATTGGAGTCGTATACTTTGATACATCTAGGTACTTCCGGGATGCATGATGTAACGGCCCCGGAAATTCAAAATGAAATGTGTATTAAAAATATCAAATGCGGAAACGAAGTCAAAAATTTGATTAACATCCCTTACACTAAAACCAAAAACGTGCTCACAAAATATAAAAGATCAAACTACATAAAGGAGAATCTTGAAAGTAAAAGCTACGAATATGACTATGGAGTCTTTAGGCGTCCCCTTCGTCGTCCTCCTGCGGAACGGGCTCGGGAACAATGTCTTCCTAATCTGAAATGATTAAATAAGGAATGAGCTATACTAGCCCAGTAAAGATATCACGATATCTCACCGTCACGGAGGTAAAGGTGGGTAGAAAACACAAAAAGACCAATGGAGCATGATTTACAACAAATCCTTTTATTAATAGTAAAACCTTTACCATTCACTTACCTCGGTCAAATTCATAAAACAATATACGAAAGTAATAACATTATCATCATCATGAAATCATATAACTGTATAACATAATACTTATCACGCCTTTTGTAATTCAATCATTACACAACATATTTTTCCTCATTTACCAACCTACTAGTATCTATGGGGATCCATAGGGGTCCCGCTACCCGTTAACCCTTAACACTTGTAATCAGATTCCAGGGCCATCCCCATACCCCGTCCGGTATGGGCGCCAAAACTATAAACCCCATTACCCCGTCCGGTATGAGGGTGAAGCGGGCCGTCCTCATACCCCATCCGGTATGGGCGCCAAAACACATAAGGTCTTCATACCCCGTCCGGTATGAGAGACCACAATCCCGGTAGGGTTCCTTACGGACCCGGTCCGTCCACCATCTCCCAGGATATCTAGTCAGGCTGACCACATTATACAATTATCAATCCACATAATCTTTCATTCTCCTTTTCCTCAGTCAGCATCATCAATTCACATACAAACAAGCAAAATAGTAATTTATGCCAACCAGACAACATACAGCATCGGTATCTCAGTCATTCAACCCATAATCAATAAGACAGTAAAATATGCACACGAAACTATGAAATGAAAACATCAAACCTCATACTGCATTTAAAACTGTAAAATATGCCAAATAACAGTTAACCGACAAACACACTAGACTCGGGCTCCATTAACGACCTTAAGCAATTTCACACATTCGTTGATTCAAGAAATATCGTTTTATCATTATTGAACTTTAATACCGTGATAGAAAATAGGGTGAGGGGTCCTTACTCGTTTCAGGGTCCGAACACGGCTTCACAGTGCGCCTACAGGCTGTCCCTAACTTTTCCTGAATTTTTTCCGAGGAACTGAAACGCACTACTGGTACCTGCACGTGTTCTAAAAAATTCTAAATTAGGCCCAGGTCCCCTTTTTGGCCAATATCGCAATTCCGGCACGCCGTTTCCGGCCGAATTCAGCCACACTTGCATCGGTCCTTGCGATAAAACAACCCTAGGGCCCTCGGGGGGCCAAAAAATTACGGAAAATCGAAGCTTACCGGCGGCGGTGCTCTCGGGTGCGGCGGCTCTCCGGTGAGGTTCGTGTTTTGGTGATTCGGCTCCGATCAACCTGTAGAGAAAAGAATGGTGATCACGGTGATATAAAAATTGCATCAAACGGAGGCTGAAAAGGGCCTCATCGGAGGCAAAAATCGAGGATGGGCGCGGCGCCGCTGGATTTCGGCCATTTGGCCGGGATTTTAGCTCTGATTTGGCCACAGTGGAAATCAGCGTGGAAAAACAAGTCGGAGGTATGAAATTTACCTCGATCGGCGGTCGGAAATCTCCCCGGTGCGGCGGCGGCCGGCGTCTGGTTCGTCTTCTTCGGCGAGGGCAGGCGGCTAGGGTTTTTGTGATCAGGTGTGGGGGTTCTATTTATACCCTTTTGCCTTTTGATCTCAGCCGTCCATTTTGATTTAATCTGGGCCGTCCGTTTTTTATTGAATCTGGGCCGTCCGTGCGATTACATCTGGGCCGTCCGTGCGCACGCTTGATCTGGGCCGTCCGATCGCGCGTATGCGGATCGCCAACGTGGCCCGTCCCCGGTCGACGTGGTTTTGCCACGTGACAGGTCCTGGTTGGCCAGGACTGCTGACGTGGCGTTTGTTTTTTTTTTTGTTTTTTGTTTTTTTTAAACCTAATTAAAATATTTAAAATAAAATAATCAATTTTTTTTTTCATATTTTCCGGGCGTTACACATGACAAATTTTGAGATATGAGCCTCTGTCATGATATCTATTTTTAACTCACTATCACATGGAACACACACCCTATCCTTAAATCTGAGCAACCTATTAGCAGAGACACAAAATTCTAAATTTACTCCATGTTCTACATCTTTCCTGAGGGCTGCTAGGGTGGAATCGGCGGATTGGGCTTCCTTTATTCTCTAGATTAACTCAGGTTGAACAGTCGGGTGGGCCAAACATGTAATTCTCTTTAGGTCTTGAAGTCGTACAT